TGTGGGGGCGATATGCGGACTCTGTAAAAATCTCTTAGAGAGGGCTGAAAGCCCTATGAAGCGGTACGTAAGTCTAACTGCTATTGCTATTGCTATCTGCAAGCAGACTTTGTATAATAGTATGTGAGAATGACCTTGGAAGACAAAAGGAAGAGCAGCAAATTAAGCAATGGTGAGACAAGTGGCATTTGAGTCCACAGAAGGAACAAGACAATAGGAAGCATCTCAGAAAGAGCCTTTCCTAGTTTCTTGGCAAGTGTACTTTCAGCCTTGCAAGATTGTTGAGAGTCTTTCAAGATATTCCAGACATGAAGTGTAGCTCCAACCTCATTGTAAAGTTACATTAACAGAATCTTTCTCCTACACTCCATCTCTGGCGGAGTACTTTCCAATAAACCATAGGAAGGAAACATTGTTCATCTCACAGGTCTGATTATGGAGTGTTTCAGTATTTAAGGCCAAAGTCTATCTTGTGCTAAATCTGTAGTGTGTACCTTATCTTTTAGAATAATTTTTAGAGAAAGCTAGGTTGTGAATAGTGTGAGTTCAAATAGTGCAAAATACGCTTTAGTGTGATTTATAAGTTGATAACAGGTCATATTTAATAAGAGGCAAAATTCAGTTAGGGTAAGGCTAGCACAGGGAGAGTTGAGATGCAAATCATTGTTTTTGCAAAATGGAGAAAAGCAAGATTGAAAAAAGAGGAGGCGAATTTGAAGAACTGTAGCAGAATGTAGGAATCAGCTGGTACTCTTTGGATAAAGATTTAGCCCCCCTTTTTTTACTGGTATGTAGGATTTTATTAATAAATATATAAAATGTATGTTTACAAATTTTAATTTATTTCCACTGAGCTAGAACCAATTACCCCATTTTCCACAAAACTATTCCTTTGATTAGTCAGGATTCAAATAATGTGACCATTTTGTGAGATTCATTAGCCACATTAATTGAGACTTAATTGTACAAGCACACATAGAGAACTGAGTTGATAAAATGTAGAATCCCATCTATTGGGACCACGTAACATCTATTTTCTACTTTCATTGCCAGTTTGTCTTTAATATGTGGCTCATTGTTTTTACTGTCTTAAATGGTTTGGGACTGGATTAACAAATCATCTTTTTTCATGTAAATCTACTCATGTAAATATCCTTCAAGATCAGTTTTTAATCTTCTCTTGCAAATGCAGTCCCTACAATTCCTACAATCGTAACATACCCCTCTTTTTCGTTCTAAAAGTTGATTTTTTAATTAAAGGATATAAAAAAGAAAGAGGAGTGAAACATCCGAATCTGCTGGAGATTTTATAGTAATATATTCCAGATCTGGAATTTATTTCCTTAACACACACATACAAACGTGCCTTATAAAATATATGATTCCCCCCTGGATAAAGTCTCTTTCCTTGTTGACATGTAGACAACTGCATGTTCAACTTTACTATTGATATCCACATAACAAAGATCTGGTTATGGATGGATACTGGATTGCATGGAAGTGACCATGCATCAAATTGTATACCGAAGTTTCCTCTATTAAATTTATATATAATCCCTAGTTTGTTAATAAATACCATATAACACTTTAACATAATCAGCTACAAAATATTATTGTAAAATGACATAATATATCTGCCAAAGAAGAAAATATTGTTTCGTTTTTTTGATTTATAAAAATGTTGCCTTTTTCAGAAAAGATTGGTTACCCATTTCCTAAAAACCATTTGTTAACATTGAAATAAGATATTTTTTTCCCTAATTGCTCACTCCTCCCTTTTCTAGGGATTTGCACATCCTTTGTATATCCTTTGGGATAACATGGTGAGCCATATATTATGTTTGCCTTGCAAAGACATGACAAGGGATAGATTGCACAAATTATGCGATCAGCTAGAATACTGATTGCACAAACTACGTTTTCATCATATGAAATCTCTTTGATATTCCATAGAGGCCTACAGGTTCCATGACATCTATACTACAATGGTAGTAGATTAGCTTTCCTGTATTGGAAAGACACAGGTCTGAATAAATGTTGATTCGGATTTGAACAAATAATATGATGATAATTTTGCTGAATAAACTGGCCTCAAGCAATAGAAGAATATACAATTCAATACTGTATTCCAACGCCTATTAGTCAAGCGAACTGTGAATCCAAGAAGTTCATATAATTAGAATGATTAAGGAAAAAAAATAAAATAAAACCTGATTGAATTGTTGATCACATCAGGGTCCTTGGCGTTTATCATTTGTATGGTGGTCCCAATGTCCACATCTTCAGGCACTTCCACAAAATAAAAACTAGGCTCAAAAACTGGGGGTTCATCAACATCTTCCACACTGATATGCACAGTTGTCGTGTCCCGGAATGGACCTAGATTCAAGAAACGCATTTCAAGGTGTGGATTGGCACCTTCTACTTTTAAAGTGTAAGTTTTCTTGGTCTCAAAGCTCAGTGGCTGGAAAAAGAGAGGAAGAAATAAAAGACAAATCGTAAAGCAATCTCTGCAATGGAAACGAACCTTTTCCTCCTACTTATCAATATCGTAAAAAAAATAAAATCACTCCAATTGAATTTCTATTTCAATCTATACTGTGGAACTGTCTAAGCCAGAGGTGTCAAACTGGAATTCTTCGAGGGCCGGATGACCATTGTAATTCTCCTCTGAATGTGGCAGCGGGGCAGGGAACCGGGAGAAGACAGGACAGATGCTTCCTGCCACACCCTACTGGCCAAAACAGGGTGTGCGGAGGCCCTGTGAGGTGCCCAGATGGCCCATTTTCAGCCTGAATGGCCTCCTGCAGCATTTTGGCTGCAGAGGCATTGTGGGCTAGTCCCTTGATATTTCCAAGCCGGTCCTGCGGGCCAGATTTAAGCACCTCGTGGGCTGGATATGAGTTTGACACCCCTGGTCTAGGTTGATCCGTACATGGTGTTTGAGAGATCTGTTTCATTCTGTCATTTAAATGTTTTGGAACCTTTAGTTCTTTCCATTCTGTTAATGAACAAATAACGGCATGAGTTTGGTAAATTCCTGCTCAAAAGCCAGGTTAAATGCAATAAAATAAATATTCTATCAAGACTAGAATTTAGAAAATAATGTTTTATCTTCTTTAGTGGACATGTAGGAAAGCTAAGAAAATTTGGAATCAAATATTTATGTGGATTCAGAAAAAATTGAAAATAGATGTAAAATTAGAACCTGAAGATTTTCTTTTAGGGATGGCAGTTGGAAAGAAAACACAGGATTTTGTTTTTATATATGACATTGGTAGAAAGGTTGCTGTATGCTGAAGATAGAAAGATATACCCACAATGGAAGAATAGATTTTGAAATTAATGGAGATAACCAAGATGATGAAACTGTTTTGCTTAGAGACAATGATTTAACTACCGTATTTTTCAGAGTATAAAATGCCCTTCCCCCTTCCTAAAAGTGTGTGGAAATGTTGGTGCATCTTATACACCGAATACAGCCATTTTTGGCCTCCTGAAGCCCCACCCCCACATCCCATTTTTGTGAAAAAGGGCTGAAAAACAGGCCAGCAAAAGTTGAGGCATTTTTTCCTTCCCCCAGCCCCCAGAAGCACTCTGCCTGCTTCAGTAGGGCTGGGGAAAGGCAAAAATACACCTGTTTTTTGCAAAAAATGAGTGAAAAACAGGTTGTTTTTTGCAAAAACAAAGGTATTTTTGCCTTTTCCCAGCCGTGCTGTAGACTGCAGAATGCTCTTGGAGGCCAGGAAGGACAAAAACTTTTTTTCTTACTTACCGTTTGAAATCTTGGTGTGTCTTATACACCGGTGCATCTTATACTCCGAAAAATACGGTAAGTTTTTTTTATGACTTGGAAACTTAGATTTCTTACAAGTCAAGGAGAAAAATCAATATTTGACTGTAGGATTTCAGGATTAGATTTGATTTGATTGGGTTAGACAAATATTGTAGCTTTTTAAAATATATGATTCATTTGACAATTTATTGTCCAATAATTTATTTGACAATAATAGTATCTTCATTTTAAAATTTTACAATTTAGTAAAATTAAGAAAAGAATATTTTCTGACGATGTTTTAGAAAGTGGATTACTAATATTCTAAGATATTGGTATTATTAGGTTAAATTTATCTCCAGATTTAAAGAAAGTTGGAGGTCATCTTTGTTGCAAATATGTTTGTAGTGGGTTTTTTGTCACTTTTAATTCGTTTTGCTATTCCTTTTCCCATTTATATTAGTTTTTATTTTAATGTTTCACTTTGAAATTGAATAAAGATATTATTTTTAAAAAAGGATTAGTAGAAGCAATCACACTGAGTATACCAGAAGTGTATAGTGTATAGGCTGCACATTGTAACATTTTAATGGCTATAATCATCTGTGGTTGTATACTATTAATCCCATTGATGTTAATGGAGTTATGCACATGCTTAAGCATTCCAGTGGAACTAATGAGTTTCAAATATATTATGTTTGGTTAGTTTATAAGCCTTTTATTATCTTTGCTGAATTCTTAAAGAGAGGTCTTTATTACAGAGAAATGGAATAAAATGAAAAGCAACATGCTAGGCTCTCCGTTTTGCAGATCAATTTCTATTCCATGCTGAGCTTTCATGCTTTTTTGCTGGGCATATTCTACCTCAGAAGAAAATGACACCGATAATTGTATTGCACTGATATGTAACATTGTACTTTTTATGCATAACAGTAAAAGGATAATTGAAACGAATCTTCGTGACAACAGCAAAACAACTTCTAGGAATGACCAGAGAATCTTCGTAAAAGTGGATCTGGAAATGGAGGTTGCAAAGATCTTATACAACATTATGAGGCCTCCAGCTGGTTGCTTAATTTCCAAGAATGCAGCGGTTATGTGCTCTTTACTTTTACATAATGGATACTTTGCTGAATATTAGCAAAATGGAATCCTTTTAATTGGCACAGACCTTGATCAAAAGAAAATGTTTGCTAGTTCCAGAAGTTGCTGGTTTAGAAACAACCTCTAATTTGGAAGAAGTTTATTTTTGTTCTCTACCCGTATTTTCATATTCATGCGCTAAGCAATGTCAGATCCAAGTTTAATAGAAAATTGTAAGCATGCATTCACATCTCTGTGACAGCTACTATATGTAAATTGTATACATATACATGCAACGCAGTGCACCACCATATAACCAAGAATTTGAGAAGTGAAAAGAGTACCAGTTCTTCCCAGTCTGGATTATTTCTTTCATCAATGTCCCACTGCTAGCTGTTAATCCTGCCGAAATTTTGCAAACTCTGGTCACAATCATATCAGAAGGGAAGACCTGATTATGCTAACCATTCCCTCTGATGCTAATCATGTCCTTTCTGGACAAGAGCTAGCAAAGTTTGGCCTAGAATGCCATGGATAGGCCTCTACCTTTCAATCTAACCCTTTACTTAGACTGTGGAGAAAATAAAATGGGAATGGACAGATCCTTCCTTAAGTTTACTGCAGAAAAAAAAGCAATTTGTTTGTCCCTTGGCAAATTAATAGCCTGCATGCAGAATCCTTCACTTTATCAGCATTTAATCTGAAAGATGGAAAAAGAGTTATCTCTTGCAATGGTGTGTTTGTGTTTCAGTTCTTCAGTAAATCAAATAGCTGGCCAGAAGAGATTTGCCCGGTATGTTCAGAGAGCGCTGCGTTCAAAAGTGTTTGCACACTTTTGAGAAACAAAACTGATTACCTTTCTCACAGTGATGATGCCAGCTTGGTAATTAAGATCGGTGGTAATATCAAAGACATCCAGTCCATCCCCGTCCACAAAACTGTATTTCATCTCTGCATTAATACCTTCGTCCAAGTCTTTAGCAAGAACACGACCCACGGTGGAACTGACTGGAGCAGATTCCAGTACGCTCATCTGATAATGTTCTGGAGAAATAAATAGGAAAAAAAGATAATGATTGCCAAGAACAAAGAAATTGGAAAACGATCCAAGGAAAGTTAAAACTCCTAAAGATTTCAGTGGGAGAATTTAAATAAATTATGTGATAAAAATTAGATAAATTTATTATCATAAGCCATGGGGCTACAATAGCAGGAAGGAACAGTGGTAAATAAATGAGTTGTTGGTTTGTTTGTTTTTTTGCAATTGTGTAATCATTCATGCACACAGGTCTGTCTCCTGCAAATAGAACTTGACTGCCTTGAATACAAGAGAGAAACATCTGTATGGCTTTTTTTGACAACAGTATGGAAGTAATTGGTTGCTATTTTCTTTCAGAATTTTTTTTAAGCCTACAGTGACAGTCCTGTCATTTCTGCCTCTAGATCTCCTCCCTTTTCTTAGACAAATATGAGAATTGGGTAGGACTAAGTCCTGGGAACCCTGTGGCTGTGCTGGGCTTTGATGCTGTTTCCCCTTCCTTGCCACAATGGCAGGATTAGCCTAGGCTGAGCTGGTGGAAAACGTCAAAGGATACCTGTTGCAGCAATCAAGATGCCCGCCATATTTAGAGCTTAGGCCCACAATCAAAGCTGCCCCTATAGAAATGTTTTCATTTCCTGTTCTTAGAGATGCGCCTGTGTAACATTCACTTGGCCCAGCATCAGACATTTGGCATAGCTCTGAGACTGTCTTGGGACTGTCACCAGTCTTGTATAAGAGCCGAGGTGGTGCAGTGGGTAGAGTGCAGTACTGCAGGCCACTTCAGCTGACTGTTATCTGCAGTTCAGCGGTTCAAATCTCACCTGCTCAAGGTTGACTCAGCCTTCCATCCTTCAAAGGTCGGTAAAATGAGAACCCAGGTGGTTGGGAGCAATATGCTGACTCTGTAAACTTCTTAGAGAGGGCTGAAAGCCCTATGAAGTGGTATATATAACTGCTATGGCTCTTATACAAGACTGGTGACAGTCCCAAGACAGTCTCAGAGCTATGCCAAATGTCTGATGCTGGGCCAAGTGAATGTTACACAGGCGCATCTCTAAGAACAGGAAATGAAAACATTTCTATAG